AATCCGTTGGGTAAATCTAACATGTTTGGTCATGGTATTCGATGCATTTATTTTACTCTTCTGGATATAAATTCAAGTCATGGTTTGTTTGTTGTTGAATTAAATTATTGAGTCAAAGAATTTTATATGTGATTTTGACAAATAGATTGTGTTCTTTAGTGCAAGTTTATTTGTTTAGTCACATATTATATTTAGTTCTTTTTAGATAAATATTTAATTTATTATTAGAACGTAAGATAAAAGTTCTATATTTTTCACAATGTCAACATGTGAAATGGAATCTGTTTATATTGACATGTGCTTTGCTAAAAGAATGATTTCATATCATGTTTGATGGCTTCTTATTTGTTACTAGTGGGGTGTTGCCCGGGCTAAGCCCGGGCCCAATAGATCTTTAAAAAAGTTGTTGCAAGAAGCAACAATAAGCAAAATCAAAGAAGCAATAACATTCCACAATAAGTAAATTTGACATATTTCGAATTGTTAAGCTTCAGCTTTTACTCTATAAGAATCTATTATTAGGATTCTATATCTCGTCTGTGACATTGTATGGAAGACTTCCATGTTATGCCTGTATGGAAAATTCTACCTTTCATCAATACGATTAGTTACGTTAACTGCTGGCCAAATGCATAAAACTATATAAGTTAAGGCTAAAATAGCTGACAAAATGATGTCCACTTGAGGATATAGAGATCGAAAAATGCCCCATCGTTTCCTGCTTTGGATGTGACAGTGAAACTTGTTTCCACAGCAGCCAAAACCTTAAGCAATCTTTGAAAGAGCGCAAAAAAATGCGAGGATGCGTCTCCAATAATCCAAAACTGCTTATTTCTTCATCAATCATTGGCGGCAATAGAGATGAAGAGTGCCATGAATAAAAAACTGATCTGCGGATGTTAAAACATATGATTAGCGAACAACTTCAGATATTTAAGAAATTGGACATCATTAGATATTTTTATTGTTTAATATTTTTTAGAATATTTACTTACCGACTAAAAATTAAAAAATTTTCCAATAAAAAATTATTGCTATCATACCAAATATGCTAGACATCGAGCTAATTATGAAGAGATGGAGATCATCACCTGATAAATTGGCTAGTGACATCCATTGTCATTAAAAAAAAAGAGCTATATAATAGGAGTATCAATTTTTTATCAACATATAATATCAATTTAAGTCTACAGAAAATCCTAAGGTATAAAAAGCTTGGATTACCACAGTCTGTACCGTAAAATTTTTGATTAAATGCTGCATTTATATTACCTCATCAAAGAACATTAGGAACAACATAGCAAATGTTGAAACTGACCTTTTTAAGCTAGTAAACCATCCAATGATCTGGAAATGGTGCATTCAATGAGGAATTACATTAGTTCTCATTTTGAGACACTATTACATACAGTAACCCACTCAACAATCTTAAAGCAAATCGTATAGAAACCCAGTATACAT